GACGCAGCTCATTCCGCATGACAGAAAAAGCCCAGAGGCTACTGAAGCACACTTGCATAAAAGTCTTGGTCGATTCCACGCATCATGGTGTTCTCGGTCCTCATACTCCCATTATAATACTATCCAAACCTTTTAAAAAAATAGCATGTCGCTTCTGTTATCATATCACAGCCCTCGCGGCTGCCCCGATCAAAATCTCAACGCTTTCAATCACAAACTCCACAAGGTGCCAATGGCCTGCCGGCAGATGCTTGTCTTCCGAGTACAGCCATGCGATAAATCTTTCGCGAAAATGTCGCGTCTGCAGCGTCCCGGGCTGAAGATCGTATCCCATCCGCTTGGCCAGTTGGCGCAGCCGCGGATGACAGTCGGCAAGGAGGACAATGGAGCTCAAGACTCGTCCAAGGCCTTTATCGATTGCACAGCTCGGCAAATGCTTCAACGGGTGGCCGCCGATCCTAGATGGCATGCCACATCTGGCGCAACATTCTCGTGTGGCAGATTCAAAATCGATGTTGCACTCATCGGCACTGTGCCCCGCGAGATGGCACCGGGTGCATGTGTCGTCTGATTCGGGACAGATATGTTGAGGTTTCCAGACGGCTTGAGACTGGCGAATGGTACATGGCATGCAATAGGCATGCATCAACCTCAGCGCATCCAGAAACTTGTCAGCCGCCGCCTTGTGGATTAGGCGCGAACGCGTCGTCTTGGCTCGCTTGTCTGATCTCAGACGTGGCATCGACGCCGCTTCACATCCTTGCGATGATAAAGCAGCCGGGGGCAATGTAGCAGATGCCACACGCTGGCAGAAGGCCGCGTAGGGTTGCGCCAGATACTCCAGACCCTTGTTGCCCAACAAAGTGCAAGGGTGCTGCGTGGTCTCGGCCTCTGCGGCAGGGTCTATATCTACAGGGCCGTCACCGTCAGGGGAGCTCTCCATGGGTGAGGCTAGGGCAGTTGTGCGTTCCGCCAGAGCCCGGACACGCGTAAGCCGCAGCGCTGCCGAGGGCGCGTTTGCTCGGGGCCGTGGTAACAAGGCATCGGGAGCAGATGGCACGGGCAAGCGCATCGGCAAGGCCGAAGGTACTGGCAGAGATGGCAGCGGTGCTCCAAGACGAGGTAATAAAGCCGTGGAAGTCTGCTTAGCCTCGTTTGAAGCTGCAGCTTCTGTTGCGTGCCGAGGCACATTTTCACCCCCTGACGTGGTTTTGGCCCGCAAACCTGGCACGGAAGAACATGGTACATCATCTTCTTGAAGTTCTGTCAGGGAATCAAACTCAAGCTCAAAGTCAGATGCCGTCGGTGTTGCTGGCAGAGACATGATGGGTTCCGTGGCCTCTTCGTCAAGTCGTCCAGCACGTGGCCTTGGCAAAAAATCAGCCATGGCCGAGCCTGCTTCAGAGGCCAACGTCACGCCTGATGCTGGAGCTTGACGAGTGTCACTGCTCTGCACTGGCTGCGCCCGAGCTTCTTCCTGTCGCTGTGCCTGAAGCTCGGAATCTGACACCGTGGGTGAATCTGACACAGACCTGAGCTCTTCGGTGGCTGCATCAAATCGTTCAGCACTTGGCCGTGGCGATACATCAGCCATCACTGCAGTCTCGCCCGATCGAGTGACATGTTCACTGTGTACGGCGATGCTTGGCTGCACTTCCTGTGCCATTTGCGTGCACACGTCACAGGAAGCCTGGCCGGTGGCAAGGCATGTAGCAGCGCGGGAATCCAACATTTTGCCAAGCGTCCACCTTCGACACACACTGCCCTCGACAAAGGCCTCCATGCCCGGTGCTGGGGCGCACCTGACTGGCAGCCACAACTCGGCAGCTCCGTCCTTTCCATCACGGCCAGCCCGACCAAATGCCTATGGCCGATTACATGCACACCATTAATTCAATGAACAATTCATTTTTTTTTTAAAAAAATTGAGACAGTCCCATGAACGTTTGAGCAGCAACTCACCTTTACCAGGGTATAGACGTCATGACCACTGCCATACCACAGCACGTGGCGGACGGTAAACAGATCCACACCCATGCTCAGACAGCTGGCGGCCACGATGACGTCGCATTCACTCTGTTGCCACCGTGCCAGATGGTCCTTCTGCGCCATCTCTTCCAAGTCTG